ATTACAAACAAACAAACAAGCAATGTCGATCATATGCCTCAGTGTTTCAATTCATACTATTAGAGCGGTTAATATCTAAATTTACAGAAGATTAACCTGGCAAATTGTTCAATTTCATTTAATTTGTCACCTTCGAAATTACCTTAGCTACAGCATACCATATTGGTGTATGACATGTGTTCCTTCGGGCCTGGCATGGTATGGTGGTTAGGACAATCGATTCGAAATATGCGGGTAGCGGTCTCGAATTCCGTCACCAAATATATTCGACCATTCAGCCGTGGGGGCGTTATCACGTGACGGGCAATCCCACTTTTCACTGGTAAAAGAGTAGCCTAAGAGTTGTCTGTGAGTGGTGTTGACTAGCTGCCTTCCCTCTAGTCTAATACTTTTAAATTAGGGACAGCTAGCGCAAGTAGCCTTTGAGTACCTTTATGTGAAATGTAACAACAGTCTAACCCTTCTATTTCTTTCTATGATTTTAGATTAGTTCTCTTAAGCAACTTCACACCGATGCGCGAAATGTAACAAACGAATAAATATATGGCACGTGTTTCCAACAGTCTAACCCTTCTGTTTCTTCCTATGATTTTAGATTAGTTCTCTTAAGCAACTTCACGCCGATGCGCGAAATGTAACAAACGAATAAATATATGGCACGTGTTTCCAACAGTCTAACCCTTCTATTTCTTTCTATGATTTTAGATTAGTTCTCTTAACAATTTAACGCCGATATGAAAGTAGAACCGCATAGCTAACTAATTCAGTTTTTGAGTAACATGTAGAGGATGATTAGAATTTTGAATATTTTGTAGAAATAGTAGAAATGTTCCTAGTTAAATGAGAGGCGAATTATTTGAATGTTGAACAGACTTTCAGAAATTCTGTTGTGTTATACGTGAACTATTGAAAGACATTAATATTCAGTTACACCTGAAATATAAAATATATCATAAATTAAAAGTAACGTGATATATATCCAGATTTTTGGTTTTAGCGTTATAAACCTTCAAGCTAACCGCTGAGTTAGCGGGATAGGGGCATTAGCCGATCTGGGTAATAACGCTGACATCTACTACATAAGCCGATTTGGTAATTAACTTTCAGTTTTATTAGATACTAGTTGCATAAGCCGATCTTGGAAATAAAGAAGCGTAATCAGATACGTCTACATAAGCCGATTTGGAAACTAAATATCATAATGAGATACCTGATACATAAATGGATCTGGTAAATGAACCAAACATAATAATCAGACATCAATCACATAAGCCTATTTGGCAAGTGATCTCGGAGTAATCAAATAATACAAAAGGCTATGGGTAAAGCCTAGGTACACTCTGCGGAATCTTGGGTGTAAATAAATCTTTGGGTGCAAGTCAGATTCTCATAGTTCTATATGTGTAAAACGATATAGTCTTCGTTTTTAAAAGCTCATATCTTATTTTCTTGTTTATATATAAAAACAACTGATAATTGCGTAGAAACAGGCATGACTGCCTGTATAAATTTTATGGAATTTAAACTGGCTATTTATGCGCTCTAAGAAGATCAGTATAAATCCTTCATCTGCGATCTAAGACCGTCGTACCATTCTTAACTTACCAAAGTTGAAAATATAAGGACATTATGAGCCAAAAAACGTAGGGCATTACAAATGACGTTTACAATTTTACAATGCATTGACGCATACCAGTCCTTCTCATTTCGGTAAAACTTTTGATCTCTTTATTTCCGAAAGAGAAGACTTTTTTTTACACGCAGTGTGTGTTTGTTTTAACACGTACTAACAAACGGGACTGCAAATTAACTACTGGCTTTTTATATTATATTTGAAGTCTCCACTTACGGTTCGGGCTGAGAAAATTGATGTAGTTTTCGGAGAAGCAAGGGCGCTTTCTTTATAGTAACCGTAGAAGGATTTCGATACCATGGAGTCTATTGTCATTTACGTATTACAATACTATTAAGAATGATAATAATATGGTACTTAAAAGTCAAAAGACTCGATGGAGTTGAATTTTACCTGCTCTGTTTCCATTGCTTTAGACTTTCTCTCCAAGATAATGTGACCATTAGAACTTACTCGTTTGATAATATATTTTAAGTATGAGTAAATGTGCTTAGTCTTGCTGAATTAGTGTTTTTATGTTTGAAACTTTCTCCAAAAACAAAAAATGGGTATTATAAAACACTTTGCTTATGGTTTACCCACGAAAAGCACAGGATATAATTTTTTCTTGTCTTTTACAAAGCCCATGCCTAATATGAATCTTGGAAAGAGCTACAATTGAGTGGCAAGTTGTCACTAGAAATTTTTGGTAATAGTAATGTTACAACTATTTTCAATCAGCCTTTACATTCTGTATTCGGTTAGGCCATTTAAATGTTAGCAATAAAATAAAAATTATCAAAATTCCAGAGGTCATTTGCTTCAGCGAAATTCGAACTTTTTGCAGTGTATGTGTTTTTGATGACTCAGTTTTATTTACTAGTTCATCTTACAAAAATATATAAATGAAAAATAAGCAAGGACTAGGTCACATGTGTCGCACGCTAACGACTTATTCATTTGTTTCAAAAATTTGCACAAAGCTACACAAGAGTTGTCTGCACCAGACGTCCATAATTTTGAGTTGGTAGACGAAAGTAAGGAAGAAAGCCATTGAATAGCACCGACCGCTAACTCTTGGTCTGCTTCAATCGAATAGTGGGATCTAAGAATTACTCTTATAACACACTTACGACCCAAAGTAAGAAGCGCCACTTTTTTTTTGCGATATTGGGGCGCGAACCGTGAATAATCCATGGTACGAGACGCTACCAACTAGTATACCTTAGGCTCGTTAACGGCTTGTATTTTACCCTGTAATTATTTGATCAAGACAAGGTGCTGATTCCATGTGAAACAGAACTGCATGACTCTTTGCATAACTTGTTTGTAATATTGTTAGTTACCGTGTATTAGATTTGCATAGCCTAAATATATGATATATGCATGTGTATGGTAGCACCTGTAAATACTTAAGTTTAACTATTTTTGAATTCGTATAATGTATATATATATATATTGATTAAAGCTCTAATTATTTACTTTTCTGTTATAGAAATAATTTTATACTTACATCAGCTTTTGAATGAATAAAAATGAGAATTTTTTAAACAGAGCTAACACTATACATCTTTGTAGCTTTATCATTATATGCTTATAAAATGCCCCCAAGCGGCACAGCGGTATGTCTGCGGGCTTACAACGCTTGAAACTGGGTTTCGATATCCGTGGTAGGCAGAGCACGGATAGCCCATTGTGTAGCTTTGTGCTTAATTCCAAACAAACAAAGCTTACAAAATATGACCAACACATCGTTAAGTAAAAATGCATGTAAACTCACTGACAACCAAATGTCAACGCTTTGACGTGATGTCAAGACAGCTAGGAATGGAGTGAGATGAAACTTCTATTAGAACACTGTATAAACTCAGTTAAGTTAACAATGGTTATTATTAGTATTATTAACACTACTAATGAAATGTTACAAGTACTGCTTCCTTATTTCTAGAAAAATGGGAGTTTTAAAACTTACTTGCTTCATATTATTAGTTCTTAATAAGTTTCAAGGCTTTGGTTGTTCTTAAGCTAAAAGGAACATAATGGGCTATTTGTGCTTTGCCCACCGGCGATATGGAAACCAGATTATTAGTGTTATAAGCCCTCAGACTTAATATTGCACCATCGGGTGACAGTTTTTATTAGTTGAATGTGATGTATCGGGTTTCTATAATATTTCTGATCTTATTGTTTGACTGTTAATTGACAAAAGCTACACGTACTGAACTAATTAAAACGTGTTCTCAGTCTGTCAGCAGAGGCACGTATACTTCTATTCATAACTTGTATTTGTATGCGTGCTTACAAATTTGACATATTACTACACTATTTCGACTACAGAACACACCAGTATACACTAAATGTTTGGTTGAAGTATATAAACAGCAAAAATGGTCAAATCTTATTCATATAATTTCATCTAAAATATTTATTGAGAGCACCTATAGCGGATACTAAGATTCTTCATGTGAAAACTTCAAATAATTTAATTAAAGTTTTCATCCATCCGTACAAAGAATCGACTTGTAAAAACCTCAGTATGTTACAGTGACAGAATCATTTATTATTGATACAAAAATAAATTTGGGTTTGTATTATCACAAAAAACAAATGCTTTTTTCTTAATAATATTTAAATAAATGGATGTGTTTTTTAGCAAAATAATAAATCAATTTTGCTTGTAAGAAAGTATGTTTTAGGACAGTAAACTGAGTACCGCAGGTAATATTAAGTAACTATACATTTAATATAATAGTTACTTATGAAAAATTAGGTTTGAGTTTTACTATAAATCCACACGTATTTATATCCAATAATAAAGCAAGCATTAAAACAGTAATATAATATACCAACGCATATTATTTCGAAATGAACATATTAGAGGCTATAATTTCTAAAAACAGTATTTTTTGACATGAATGTTTTTTAACGCAAATATATGTGTATATTTCCAAAAAAGCATGAGTATTTATTTTAATATAGATACACTTGTTGATTAAGCTCTTATAGACAGGTGATTGGATATTTGTTCTCTGATATATATTTCTCGGTGGAACATGTTTATATATATTTGTATATATTGATTAGATGAGTTGCATTTAAAACCTTTTGCTTAAATTTTCTGCTACTACTTAAGCCTTTCGTTACAACATTATTAATCTAATTCAGCCTTTGTAAACTGCATAGCTCTGTTAAGAACATTTACCCCAGTAACTATTCGGAGTCTGGCGTTTCGTAGACGGTAGTGTCTGATGACTTAAATGGCTAAGATGACAAGCTCCAGCGTGACAAGAGTGCCAGGAAGTAGATGGTGCCACAGAAGGCATAGTTGGTGGCATCGGTGTCATTTCCACATCACTATTTCCTTCCTCCTGTGCTTTCATCTGACTAGAGTAGAATTCCCAGAGTTTACCAATGATGGCTGTAGCCATGGCGCTGCCATGGTTATATTCGATTAGTCGAAGTACAAAGACTCCATCCCAGCCGAGGTAATTAGACGAAATCTTCCGGGCTGACCTCGTCACTTCACTCATGTTGACTAGTCTTGTCCTCCACAAGCAAAGTCTGATGAAAGCGAGTCGGTTGCAAGAAATATTTCGCCAAATCCACATCATTAGGCTTAATGCATTTAGTGGAAGAATAATGGCTAAGTAAAACCAAATTACAGAATATATTTTTTCATTAAAAACGTTGATGGGTAGAACACACCTACAAACGTATGTCCGAAGGGTACCTTGCATGGCAGCACGGACTTGACACAAACTTTGCAGGGGAAATCGTGGCGAATTCCACCATTCTCCATTCGTTGTCAGTCGACGTAAAATTTCTATCCCGTGCCGAAGGTAGCCTTTTCCCATGAAAGCGCTGAGAAGCAAAAACTGTACGCCTACGTTAATTAAATAGAAAAACTTAACTAACATATATAACAAGGACAGGTACCGACTCGGTCCCGCTACACAGCGGCAGCCAATTAATGGCAAGCGACATGAGGGATCCGTGCACCAACCAGCGTTTCCGGTCACGAGAGTATGGAATTGGTCCACAAATTCAGATAATAACGCTTCCCGCTGTTGACATCCTGGTGGAAGGGCGGCAATATCGGAGGCTCTCTTCAACAAGCGACGGAGCTTTACTCCCGCGTTATTTGCACAAGCCCCCCACATGATAAAAGGTAAGTGAAAACATACACCTTGCAGCATTAATATCAAAGGCGACCACTGATAGTAACTCACATGGACACGCCGTAACTTGTCTCTTTGCACGGTGTACATGTCAATTCCACTGTTGTCAATTTCTTCAGGGCCAACCCTGATATCTGGTGGATTTTGCGGAGGGTCAATGGTATCATGGTCGCTGTCGATGGCCACTAAATAGTAGGTAGACGCTGTCCAACAGAAACTATTAACGTACCGGGCCTGAGCATCTGTGAAGTAGGTTGGGGTGAAACACTCAATAGGCTCTCCAATGTACTGTTTCGTGAAGATAGGTAGCGCGAGGAACAGGAAGACAATCAGCGTGTACTTCCGGTTGAGCTTGTCTACACCATCGTCGATAGGTACATGAAGGCCCCCGATCAGGTCGTGAAAGCGGAAGAAATAGGACATCTCGCCCGAAGCCTGTCGGGGGCGGTGCGTTAGATGGGTCAGGTTGGCGGATGAAGGGGTCGTCGTGGACAGGGTGAAAGTGTAATGAAATATTCAAATAGTCTGGCGTATTTAAATGTCGAAATGATACACTGTTTATCTCCCTAGTTGACCAGTTGGTAACTGAGCTCACTAGTACTTGGCTATGAAATTGCTCAGTTTTGGGCACGAGCAAATATCTACAGAGCAAATTTAATTCAGTTTCCGGAAAGTGAATAATTCGAAATGTAGACTGATTCCAAATGACCATAGCCAAATCTACAATAAAACAAAGAAATACATTTTCAAATTAGATAAAACAGTAATATTTATTGTAAAATAATAATAACCTTCATATTTTTAAAAATTTTTCACAGGTATTACACAATTACAGTACATGATGGTGAATGTATATGAAGTAAGGCTGGAGACAGTTCATCATTTTAACAATTACAAAACATCATGTGAACTAGACAACAGAACGCAGATTCTGATCGAATAATTCCGGGAAGTTTGTTCTAGCAAAACTAAGTTTAACAATAAGTAATTTTATTAGAAATTTAGTTGCGATAAACATCTAAATAAAAATAACTGATTTAAGCAAATAATCATACTATTTGAAATAGTTAGACGTTGTCGCAACCTTTAAGTCATTATTATTACAAAATCATAATAGACAAAGTTTAGAACCTCAGTGATACAATTTTTTTCTTCTTCTGTTTTTTAACAATATTATCAAGTGAATGGTATAACTATCGTCTTGGAAGAAGTTGGTACAATACCGTACTTAAACATCTTTATTATTGACAAATCCGTAGAGGTATGTTCCCGTTACTTACCTTAATGTTCAAATCAAATTTTTGGTCATTCGGCAAAAACCAAGTTAGCACGCAACTCTGTTCGATCACTGGACATTGTGGTCAATTTGAAGAGAAAGTAGAAAGACAGACATTTGCCATCCAGTCGGTCAGTAATACGATAGACATACACTACAAAAAAACGAGAGGTTTTTATCCGAAGATGGCATTGCATCATATTACCACGTACCTGATAGGATAAAACATTTTAATTTCTGATTAAGATGGACTTAAAGGTGGGTATTTCGGGGAGAATCGGCGTTAGGTCAATCACAGCAGCCCTGAAGGTTCGTGAGTTCACGCCATTCCGGTAAACCTCGATGCGTGAAACCACTGAAATTCCCTAGGCTGTTAAAGACATCAACCACACTCCAGCCGGTGGTGCAAGCGTCACGTTCTCCGTTCCAAGTGAGCACTGAGAGCCAGATCATGAACCCCAACGCTCACCAGTTCAAGTGACCTCTAGTGGTATCCATGAACATTCTCCGCGAGTTCTGGATACATGATAAATTACAATTGAATACCAGTACGAAAGATATAGCTTGTGTTGGAGTCCTTGTCTCTCTCAGTGAAGTATCCTTTATGAATGTTCCTTGGGTTTATTTTGCAAGTCATTCACTGCCTGTTAACCTCTTGAAAAGAGTGGAGTTGTTGCTATGTTACGGTAACAGTAACCGTGGTTACGATACGTGTAGTCAGCACCAAAGTAGCGTGCGTTGGTTTGCTGAATCAGTTATATACGCTTTAACAAAAACCCACCTGGGGTACAAGACGTCGTTACTTACATCAACATCCAGAAAGAGACTTGCTGTACAGGCAGGATTACTAAACAATTAAAAACAACATCACACCAAGTCTACCGGCGTGGCTAGAATTATCGAAACAAAGTTCTGTTTGAAGTAGGTTACTGCTATGACGATGAGTGCTGGTAACCGACAAACTAGCTTTAATACATGATGAAAGTGAGAGAGAAAGAAAGAAACTTTGACGATATACCACGCATGCGCGCAGACATGCAGCTTAGACAAGTGCACAAACCCATACTGATGAGAAATTCGTAAATGTAAAGATCGATTCTTGATCAGTTGACTATCGTGTTGATATAGTTGTTTAATCTGAGAACACAAGTAGAAGTAAATTTCAGCACAGTTTCTAGCAGCGTTGTACATGCATGCTGTTTTGTGATAAGGAATGTCACTTCAATTTGTAGAAAGTTAAATTACTAGTAAATAATATACGAATTGATGCATCCACATCGGCAAACTATATATTCGAACCATTAACACAACTGAAGTATATTTCAGTACATATATAGTAGAACAACGAAAAAAACAACCAACATGGGAGCAGTTTTGTGAATTCAAATACAACAGATATTTATGGAACGAAATATATTGAATAAGACATGAAGAGAAAGAGCCACGGATATGACTGTGAAAGAAGAATACCATAAAAGAGACAGCGACAGAAAAACCACACGGAAGATGTTACAAAAGCCAATTAAAGGTTCTAAGATGGTAAACAGAAACTGACGAAAATGTTATAAAAGCCGATAAAGGCTCTGAGATGGTAAACAGAAACTGATGAAAATGTTACAAAAGCCAATAAAAGCTCTAAGATGGTAAGCAAAAGCCAATAAATGCTCTAAGATGTTAAACAGAAACTGATGAAAAGAAGGTAAGGAGGAAAGTTAAATTGCATAACTGGAAGAAAAAAAAACACCCAAAACTGAATAATACAGGTACCGAGAGAGCCAAAATAGGTTTGGTAAAAAAAATTGAAAAAAAAGAGAATCAGGCACGTGACATAGGCATTCGCTGCAAAAGGAGAGAAGAAAAGAAATACTACAGAAAAACCAATAAAAGACAGTTTCGTACAAAAGAGTAAAAAAATAGAAAGTGTATATAGAACGACACAAAATTTCAATGAAAAATTGTAAAGAAATACTGAATTAATGAAACGGCAAAAATAGCAACGTTCGTAAGGATAAATACTGCGTTGAAATTAAGCATTGTTGATTTTCACAATCACGGCTGAATAAACGCTTCTTAGTAGCCTCATTTCTTTGTCACTTCATGTTTCTGCTCGACCACCGGATTCAGCTAATAGTTTGTTTGTTTGTAATTAAGCACAAAGCTACACAATGGGCTGTCTGTGCTCTGCCCATCACGAGTATCGAAACCCGGATTCTAGCGTTGTAAGTCCGCAGGCATACCTCTGTGCCACTGGGGAGGGGCGAATCATCTAATGGAGAAAAGTACTTAGTCGGGGAAAAAATTATCTTAAAGCACCATAATGGCTTCTACTGTTTAGTTGTCACATGATTTGTCTTGCCCGTGATGTTCCCTATCGGTACCGAAAGTTTGTTTGTTTTTTGAATTTCGCGCAAAGCTACACGAGGGCTATCTGCGCTAGCCGTCCCTAATTTAGCAGTGTAAGACTAGAGGGAAGGCAACTAGTCATCACCATCCACCGCCAACTCTTGGGCTACTCTTTTACCAACGAATAGTGGGATTGACCGTCACATTATAACGCCCCCACGACTGAAAGGGTGAGCATGTTTGGTGTGACAGGGATTCGAACCCGCGACCCTCAGATTGCGAGTCGAGTGCCTTAAACACCTGGCCATGCCGGGCCGGTACCGAAAGGTAATTAAATGAAAAAAGACATGTTAAGGTAGATAACTTATTAATTTAGTGGCTTACTAATAGGTCGTCAAAATATTTACATACCCATGAGGTAACCCAGTTAATTATAATGATTAGCTAAAATTAAACAAATTTAAAGTACTTGAATTTTCAATAATTTCTAATGTATACTTATCCAAAATTTGCATTTCTACTGCTACATTTAATAAGGAAAGATAATTATATATATATAGAAAAACCACTTTAAAATGGGCCCCCTGGTGACTCGGCGACAAGTCTGAGGGCTTGTAATGCAAATATAAAGTTTTAATATTCGCGTTGTGAACAGTACAGATAGCCTACTTGTGTAGCTTTGCGCTTAACAGCAAATAAACTTTAAAACGGCTAAAATGTTATTAATAGCGTTTAGGGTCCTAGTCGTAAGATATTATTTGCCTTCACTGCATACTTCATACAGTTAAATAATTAGTCAAAATTAAGTCATTTTAAATTGCGTGATTCCTTAATAGCTTTATTGTTGTTGTTGTTGTTAAACACAGAACACACTCAGAAAGGTAACGTGATTAGTCGGAATTAAGGCATTTTTAAGCAACTAACACCTTAATGTTATGGGCCTGAAGTTTCAGGTAGTTAGCTTTCTTGGACTGTAAATCCAAGGATCCATGGTTTGCAACCCGTTACTACAAAACGCGTTTCACACTTGGGGCCTTGGGTGTATTATTCGGGCAAATGATAGTAACTCAAGAGTTGGCGGTGGATGCTGTTGACAACTGCCTTCATTCTAATCCATCAGTTCAAGATTAAATAGAGCTAAGCGCAGATAGCTCTTATATAGATAGCTCTTAGCGAAAAAACAACAACAAAAATACACGAAACTCTAAAGACATTAACTTTCAGTCGTTAAAAACATACTGTTATCCCATATATCCCAAGCTAGTAATTTACGTGTTACAGAAAGTAAGCTTTTAGCCTATGCGAAGACAATACTAGTTAACTTTTAGGTAGCAACATCTTTTTTTAGTAAGCTCAATACCAACAGGGAAGCTTTGGAAACCCATCCCCTCTTTGGTGATATTATGGCAAAATAATTTCCAGCACTTTTTATTCATTACCTTCAACGTTGTTACATTCTTTTCAGTAATGGTATTATGGCATATGTAAATGGGCACTAACTAAGTGAATACGAAGTAGAATTTCATGTGTGGCTTTCTAACATGAAAGATAATATGCATTGAATGTAATTACTGGAATTCTAAACCATTCTGCAGAACTATTAAGAACCATCAAGTCAATAATTTCAATCAACTTCCCTAAGAAAATTCATCATGCTGTTTAAGTTCTAGAAATTTGTTGGTATGCAGAAAATATAAAAAGTTCATAGCAAAACGATTTGATTTCACCAATATTGTGGGCCTAAGAATTACAAAGGACAGCAAAATAACAGAGTAAATTTATAACAGTATACACCAAATCGTGTGATTCAATTTTGAAAAGCATTGTTGGGGAAACTACCCAAACATTATTTTTTGCTGATAAAGACTGAGGGTCAGATTAGT